AAATATATGAAAAATTGATGTGGGTACTCAAATGAAAGGTCTCGATGAGTGTAATGTCGGAATGAGCTTATATCTTTAAAAATGTTAACAGTTCAAAAAACGCAAGGTCATCTTTTAATTACTGATAATTTTAAAAATGTGCACAGAAAAAAAGGTTCACTTGAGCCAAGAAATTATTCTTCTTCCTACTTATTTTCTTGAGCAAAAAAAAATTTTTTTTTGACACAAGAAATTTAACTTATTTTAACAAAATTAATCCTCTTGCTTTAAGAAATACGTATCTTGATCCAAGAAAATTTATTTAAGTCAAAAAAATCTTGTTGTTTTGAGAAAATTCAGCCTCGAGCTCCAAAAAATTTAATTCTTGATAGAAGTTAATTTTCTTGTCTTGAGAAAATTTCTCTCTTGCTCCAAAAAATTAAATATAAAGATAGAAGTTAATTTTCATTAATATTTTTATTGATCAACATGTCAAATGGGAAGATCAAATAATATTTCATCATTTTTTTTTTCATTCAATATGTATAATTGCACGCTAAAATAATATAAAATGGGTATCAAATATTCTCGAGAAAAATTTTCTCAAGGTGAGAAAATTTTTTTCTCAGAAGTAAGTGGCGCTGCTTCCCTAAAGTATCTAAAAATCTTGATCAAATATAAAAATTTATTGTATCAAGTATTTATGATCTAAGAAAAAATGACTTCCACCAAGAATAGAATTTTTCGAAAAATTTTTACTTCGGCCAACACAACTTTGGTCTTTCTTTAGGCACCCGACAAATTTTCTCGAGCTAATAATTTTGTTCCCCAGTTGACGCTAAAAATTTCTGATAAAATCAAATTTACTTTACAAACTATTGACATGTACTTCAAACTAATATTTCCATCGACTACCATCCCTGAAGCGTGATCCTTATCAAACTTGAACCAAGTAATGATCAACAATTGATCAAATATTAATCTGACAAACTTAAATTTTGTTCCAGATGTCCAAGTTGAGATTGAAAGTCTCCCGAAGTCGTCGAGTAAACGACGACTGACTATGTCGGATCACCGCAAGCGTCACCCTCACAATTTCCAACCCTCGCAGCCAGCCTGGTCCATCACACTATTAATCCTCCTGCTCCTACCAATAAACTGTCATCGTAAGACCGTCGCCTTAGCTCAAGAATCGACTCCTCAACTAGCTAATAATAATCACAACATCATCAACAACAACAACAACAACAACAGCAATTACAATAAATCTCTGGATGTAAGCACGAGCAGATTAATCTCCAATTCAACAGACAATTACCAGGGGATCTTGGTCTTCGAACTAGATGCTAAAGACTCTCCAATCATCCAAGAAAGCCACCCGGAATCCGAGCCAACAATAATCCCGGAATGCGCGAGTCGTATCGGGTGCCTTTATGATGATAATAAATCACCAAGTGACTCTGAGCTCGGCAATTCAACTCTTAACCCGATAGAGTCCTTGAAGATTCCTCCTCAGACGAAAAACCACTCCAAGATCTCTCGTAATAATAATTATAATAATAAATTAAAGTTATTGAGAAAACAGCATGTCGGGAGAAGCAGAAATGAAAGCTTTGAGCACGATAAATTAGAGGTGACTATTCTCGGGCTCTTTGAGCTCTCTACGGGTAATGAACCACGTCATGAAGGACTCACCGAGTTGGCCGCTGCTCAGCTGGCAATCGATCGTGTTAATCAGATGGATATGCTGGACAATTTCCGACTCAGGCTTATTCACAACGATACTAAGGTAAAGTTACTTAATTTAGTCGATTAATAATTTTTTTTGGGCTTATATATACTCTGGTTAGATTTTTCTGGAAGCGAGAAAGTTTAGCCACCTAGCGGTGAAACCGAGAACTAAGTTTGAAATAAATGGTTAGAGGCAGAAGTAATCTATTAAAATGTATTATAATTAATATTTTGTGATTCTTGTGAATTTTAACAATATTTTTGGAGCACTGTTAGAAGGATTTATTTGTTTAATAAGCTTTATTAATTGTTAATGAATGATTTTTCAACATCATAGGAGTGGATAAATATTTATAGACAGTTAATAAATTATTTATTAACAGTTAAAAATACTAGCAACTTTGCAGTCACTATGTGACTGCCGTGACTTGTGAACTATAAATAAATGAAATTTTGTTTTTTAACTAATGATTTTTGATAAATTGCACTGTACTTTCTTAGCTATTGACGTTTTTAAAGATATAAGCTCATCCCGATGCAACACTCATCAGGAGCTTTCATTTGAGTACCCACATGCATTTTCATATATACATATATTATTCATACATACATATATATAATATATAAATATATAACAAAATTGATGTGGGTACTCAAATGAAAGGTCTTGATGAGTGTAACATCGGGATGAGCTTAAATCTTTAAAAATGTCAGCAGTTAACTAAATACAAGGTCATTTTTTAATTATTGATATTTTTAAAGATGTAAGCTCATCCTGATGTTACTATCATCAAGACCTTTCTTTGAGTACCCACATGCATTTTGATATATTTTTCATATATACATATACTATATATATATATATATATATATATATATATATATAAAAATTGATGTGGGTACTTAAATGAAAGGTCTTAAAGAATGTATCATCTGAATGAGCTTGTATCTTTAAAAACCTCAATAGTTCTCAAGATACAAGGTCATTTTTTAATTATTGATATTTTAACAGATATAAGCTCATTCCGATGTTACACTCATCAAGATCTTTTATTTGAGTACCTACATGCATTTTTGATATATTTTTCATATATACATATATATAAATATATGAAAAATTGATGTGGGTACTCAAATGAAAGGACTCGACGAGTGTAATGTCAGGATGAGCTTATATCTTTAAAAATGTCAACCGTGCATAAGATACAAGGTAATTTCTTAATTATTGATATTTTTAAAGATATAAGTTTATCCTGATGTTACACTAGTTAATAAATCCTTTTATCAGTGTGTTACTTCTTGATTTCACCGCCAGGTGGCTAACTTCTCTCGCTTGTATAAAAATCTAACCAGAATATATATTAAGCAATTTAATTTTTTTTCAATTGACTAATCAAAAGAATTTTTTTCTCTAAATTTTGGTTTTTTATGAATTTACTTTTTGAAAAAAAAAATAAAATTTGTGAAAAAAATATATTAAACATATAACCAAAAAATAGTAAAAAGCTCTTTACGTCCAAATGAATTTATTAAATTAATCTTTTATATAATTTAAATTCACCGTGACTAACCATCAATGAAAATCATGAATTTATCACTGTATAAATTATCCAAGTGAATTTATAATACGATTCGCCAGTAGTACGGTTGCATCAGTGAGATTAATTTAATATGAATTAACTCATAACGTGTTGGTCTGTAAATTACATCCCTATTTGACAGACATTTGTTGATAATATTAACATTAATACATCAGTCAGATCTTGATGGAGTGCGACTAGTCCTGCACATTGAACATACAACCAAAGCGGATACGAGTAATCAAGCATATTGGATGTTAATGGGATATACGTTACAACTATGTTTCAATTTCGGTATTCGAGTACGCGTATATAATCAGATAAGCCCCGTTATTTGATAAGCACTTGCACTTAATCTTCTTAGCTATATCCTTATAATTTAAACGATGTCACTCTCATGAGATATTTCACATTTAACTGTAACTCGATAATAATTATTCAAACTTGCAGATTGAATAATTAACACTTGACATTTGAGGAAAAGAATTCGATAATTTTTATCTTAGGAAAAAATTTATTTAAAAATTTTTGAATTTCGCGCGCTTTTATAAAAAAAATTATTAAAGAAATATATGTTAAAATAGTTATATTAAGAATGTAGCAAAAATAAATTTAAAAAAAAAATTTATTAATTATACATTTAAAATTATAAAAAAATGATCTAATATGTATATCTGTAATATAACGCGTGATGTAAGCAGGATAACTTCTACAGTTCTTTGCCGATCTTAATAAAATTTTGTGGACTTATTCTATGAATCAATACTAAGGTCAAGTTAAAAGATGAGCAAAATCGGCTGGTTAGTTTACGAGTTGTGAGTGCATAAAAATTTTTTTTTTATTTTTAAAAATTTTTAATTTCTTTTAATAATTTTTAAGCCGTAAAAAATAAATTTTGAGTAAAAAAGTTAGGTTGTACGCTAAAATTAGTTAAAAAATGAATTTCTTTACTAAATATTTATTTGGTGGAAATAAATGGGCTTTAATAAATTATTGAGTAACTATCGCTAAATTTTATTAAATAAAACTAAATTATTTTATCATAGTGAAGTAGCCCGCTCTGCCAGCGAGAAGGAATTTTTCCATGCGCCACCTAGCGGTCGGCGCTTTATAACAACACAGAAAAAAAATTTGCGTTAAATATTTAACACTTATAATTTCGTGGTTCGGAAAATTAAAAATAAATTTTTGAATTTTGTCATTAAATAATCTTTCATATATAATAAAATTTTATTTTAGATAAATTTCTTTTTCAATATTCCTTGAATATTAAATGGCGGGATTTTATTATTCTTTTGACTGAAAAATATTATTAAAGAGAGATGAAAAATAAAAAAATATTTGTCCAATTTGTTTATCATTCCCGTTATTTGCTTTAATCTGTTTTTTTCAGATGATAAACAAATTTGTGGAGAGTGAGGAAATATTTTCTATTGTCACTAAAATATATCATATCATCGGAATCGATAATGGAGAAAATGTAATACCTTTTTTTTTATTTTTTGTATCTTCACGTTCCGGTTGAATGAAAATATTTAATGATCATCATTTCTATTTATATTTCAACATGAAATTTCAGAAATAAATTTTCTGGGGCATTATGCAACAAGATAAGATGTAACAAGTGTAAAGATAATAATTCACCCGAGATCAGAGCCTACTGCAGTTCACCGCGTGATCGGAATTTATTTCTCGCTATTTGCTTTGTACTTATAAATTTATCCGATGAAAATTCATGCCACGTGGGTAATAAAAATGCGGGAGGAAACGAGAATAAAAAATGAGTTTTATTCGGGACCGCTTAAATTACGCGAATTAATGGAATGAGGGTGATCGAAAAAAACTAATGTATGATTTGTGAAGAAAAGGTGACAATTTGTTAGTTAAAATTTACAATGCAGAGACAAATTGTCAAATGGAAAAATAAATTTACAAATTTAAAATATTTTTTTGGAATTTCTGATGAAAAAACTTCGATAAATTTTGGATACTCTGACAGAAGGATATATTAACTATTTATAATTTGATTTATTTGAAGACAATTATTTAATTTATTAAATTTTAATTATATTGCATTATAATAACGTTTATTGTAAAATAGCACATTTTATCACAGCTCATAATTATCTTTTATATTTTTAAATGTTAAAAACGTTAATTTATTTAGTGAATTTAATTATTATCACGTATTCCAGCTGTAGAGTTATGAAAAGTGTCAAAAGAAAATTGCTACTTTTGCTTTTTATTTTAAATAAATATTTGTTAACAGTTAAAAAATATTTATGAAACATTAATAAATAATAGCAACCTTGCAGTCACTATGTGACTGCCGTGATTTGTGAACTATGAATAAAATTTTGCTTTATTAAATAATGACTTTTGTTAAATTACACTGTACTTTTTTAACTATTGACCTTTTTAAAGATATAAGCTCATCCCGATGTTACACTTATCAAGAGCTTTCATTTGAGTACGCATATCAATTTTTCATATATTTTATATATTTAAGTATATAAATATATGAAAAATATATCAAAATGCATGTAGGTACTCAAATGAAAGGTCTCGATGAGTGTAATGTCGAGATGAGCTTATATCTTTAAAAACGTCAATATTTAAGAAATGACATTGTATCTTGTTAAATAATGATATTTTTAAAGATATAAGCTCATCTCGACATTACACTCATCAAGACGTTTCATTTGAGTACCCACATGCATTTTGATATATTTTTCATATATACATATTTATAATATATATAAATATATGAAAAAATTGATGTGGGTACTCAAATGAAAGGTCTCGATGAGCGTAATGTCGGGATGAGCTTATATCTTTAAAAACGTCAATATTTAAGGAATGACATTGTATCTTGTCAAATTATGATATTTTTAAAAACATAAGCTCATCTCGATATTACAATCAACTGTTAATAAATTTTTAATAAATTCTATGATGTTAAAAAATCATTTATTAACAGTTAATAAAGCTTATTAAATATAAACAAGTCCTTCTATCAGTGTAATTTATATAATTACCAACAAAGCGCAACTTTTTTTCCGCTGAAAGTTAGAATAATTATAAACGTATCGAGTTTATTTTCCCGGAAGAATTTATAATTCAACAGACAAAATTAAAACTTTTCCGGGCGCTTACTAAACTCGGATTACGATTTTCCGTCTGGTAATCGCGTTGAAATTTTAATGCACCCTTTAATTTTATTAAACTCACTAGAAATAAATAATTAAACTTTTATTTAATTTTATAATTAACCAACAATTTAATTTGTTTTATTTAACCTACCGACCAATAATTAATCGGCATTAAAATTTTAAATCTCCAAATCGGTAGCGGAAAATAAATAATTTATGTTGGCTATAAAATATAAAAAAAAAAAAAAAACCGGAACATTAATAGAAGAAAATATTTCCATGACAATGAAAAGTTTTATGATCCATTAAACATAAAAACTCGGCAATTAAAGTGGTTGCAGGGGACGGATGAAAACAAATGGACATAAATTCGATAGCTGGAAAAGCAAACTGGAGGCGAGTAAAAAAAGCTCGTCTCAATTGTTGAACATAAAAGCAATCCTAAAATATTTTTTGGTCTCGAAAGTAGACAGACTGTCTCTCCTTTGGGATATAAGTCGTCAAGCGAGAGATTTGTTGCCATATAGAATCTATGTGCTATAGAAGATCTGACGGGTTTCAATATCCGGCGATTTACCATCGACATCAACTATTTTAAGATACTTTTTTTTAAAGAACAAAGAAACTTTTCAATATCCGAATAAAAGGATACTTGTTAAATATTAATGCTTTTGTTTTCAACTAAATTTATGTTTTATTGTCTGATAATTCTGGGCTAACACAAATAATTTTTTATAAAAGGCTTGGATATAATTATTTTTAGAGAAATGATCAAATTTTTTATTTTAAAAGACTATTGAGGCATTCCATAGTGACTGGTGAGACATTTAACTCTGGAATTCCATCAATTATATATAATTATGTGACTAAAATTTCTACTATAGTAAAATTTATCTTACAATATAGAAGAATAACTAATTAACAAGATCCCTTTGTCAAAAACCTCCATTACTTTTTAAGTTTCTCGTAATTATCATTTGACTGAGTGTGACTGGTGGGACTAACAACAAATCCTTCTCTCTTACCAAAGGTATACTTAAAGTCCAATTTCAGTTCTTGCACTAAACTGCAAAAAAATACTTCCCTCGAAAATACTAAATTTATCCTACAAACATTGAATATTATGAAGAATTAGACTGATTACCTACGTAGAAACAATTAAAAAAATTTGTTTTTATTGTGACTGGTGGGACAGGCATTTGTGACTGGTGGAACAAGTACAAAATGTCTACATCAAGTTGTTTATTAAAAAGACTTTTATATTATTTCAACCTTACAAACATTATTGTTTATATATTTAACTATAAATTATTTAGGATAATTAAAAAAAACTAATTAAAAAAGACAAATGAAGGATTTAGCATGCTGACAACACGATCTTGATAAACTTAGGTGTTAATTGATAACGAACATAAACAAAATTTGTTCTTAAAACTATAATAATAAATATGTTAGTTAATAACAAAGATAAAATGAATTTGTTGTTAAAACTATTAAAACAACATTTGACCCGAATACAAGTTAGTACGGCTGAAAAGTTACTAGGAGAGAAAAATCGATTTTTTTATTGATTAAAAAAAATTTTCTTTACAAATTAGTAAAATATAGAATTTTAATAATAATAATAATAATGTTTATTCATTCCTTTTAGCATTCAGCTATTTTTTTTTTACAATTAATAATTTACATTTCATATATATCACAGCTCTAATTAAATGACAATTAATTACTCGATCTAATATAAGTTTTTAAAGATCTTTTAAATCTTTCTAATGTTCTTTCTTCTTTAATTTCATTTGGCAAACTATTGTACCACTGAAAGCCTTTATAAGTTATCGACTTTTCAGCAGTATTTTCGTTATTTAATTTTACATAATTTTGCAAATATCTAGGTGTAATTTTATTTATCATTTTGTAGACTTATATTAAGGAATTGTACTTTAATCTTTGTTCCATGGACATCCATCCAAGAGTATCTAGCATTAGTTTAATTTTAGTATATCTATCAACCTCTAATATTGATCTCATGGCCCGATTTTGTAACTTTTGTAAAATTTCCATATGTTTTTTATCATAATTTATCATTACTGAACAGCAATATTCAAAGTGAGGAGCGATTATTGATTTATAAATCATGCTTTTTGTGTACTGTGTTACGGAGTTACCTAATCTTGAAGTTATATTTA